GAGAAGGCACTGATATTTCTGTTGGTCGATATAGGCAATAAGTAGGAAAGAGCAACCTCATATCAGTAAGAGGTGCTAAATTATTGCAGGGGACTTAAGGGGAGAATAAATCTGTTTTTTTGTTCTTGGGTTAATACTTCCAATATGTTTCTACCTAATCCTCAGTGAGCCACACCATGGACTAAGCACTATGATGATCTTAGAAACTGGCCTTAAGAGGAATATGATATCCCCCAAGGGTAAGGTGACCAGACATACCGCTTGTGGCGGGACAGTCCCAATTTTTAACAATTTGTCCCTCGGTGTTTTAAAAAAGTCCCGATTTTTGGAAAGAATTCACGACAAGCTAGGGTATATGGTTTTTTGGCTGCCATGTGGCTATTTTGCCAGGATATGCATTTTATCAATGGTGTCCCACTTTACCAATGTTAAAATCTGGTCACCTTACCCAAGGGCCACACCAGAAGAACTCAACATGGAAGCCCAACTGAACAAGCTGTGCCCTACCTCAAAACTACCTGTACCCTTGGATTTAGGACTGAACTATCCTAATGGGAGAGGGAGCAAAGGATGGCCACCCCAAGACTGAGGAAATGGTGGTCATTGGACCTTGGGTGAGGCCCCTGACTTAGTGGGTGTCCAAAAAAGGGACCCAGAACCACCATATATCTAGTACCTCAATGCCCCCCTTGAATTAATATGACAGGTATTAATCTGACAGTAAAGCATCTGCCCTTATAAGTAATTGTACAGGGAATTTTCGTCTAGTACCAACGTCCATGTCCAATGTACACAGAACTCAATCAATTCAGAAATCAGTCTATACAAAGCAACAACTCATGGATTGCAGCCACCAGTTCGATGATACTTGCCTCAACTCTCATTTCAATAACACCTTAAAATGATTTCATTGGATAAATTATAATTGTTTTCAATGCAATTACCTTATACCCCAGGGGGATAATTGACAATATTTGTCCTTTTTGTTTCTTCTATTTTCTGGATGGAGGGGGGCACTGTTTCTTGTTTGTTTTGTTGTTGGTCTTGTTTCTTTTGCTTTTGTTTTTGTCATAATATGACCACCAATATAAACCAGATTCATCTGTAACCTGTGGACAAGCAGATGAATTCTGGCCTCTCACTTAATTCTGGCCCCAACCCCAGAACAGTTAGTTCTTATAACAGGGCTTGTTTTCATGAAGAGGTCACTGAAGATAAGTGTACTACCACAAAATGTGGTGCAGAAAGCAGATGACGCCTGTTATCAATTGGAATTGGAAGTGTCTTGGGTCTTAAAGGCGTCAACTAAATCCACACGAAAGAAAACGCCAGTGTGTGTGATCTAGAGATGATGATAAAAATATTCAAATATGATGAAGGGAAAAGTCTCAGGGTGTAAATTGTGAACACCCAATTTGTACAAGGCTATGGAATCCAGTCTGATGCCAGGTCCATCTGCAGGGTGGTGAGTCAGAGTAAGCTTTTGGCATATCATATCTGGCCACAGGCACGAGATTCAAACAGCTCTACTGTGAGACAGAGATGATTGTAAACTTGATATGGTGGATCAAACCATGGTATAATATGATGCTTGGTCAGTTGACCTCCTTCTTGACCCAACCTGAATGAGCTCTATGTTCAAATCTTTCTTGACCATTCCATCGCAGACATTTCATCTCTGGTCCTTTTAATAATGCCAACAAGCTTTTCTTTCTTCATCTTTGCTTTTATCTTTATATTATTATTATCATTTTCTTCTTTCTGTTTTGTCTTTTATTCTCTCTGTTAGTTTCCCCAGTTTATGAAGCACAGAAGGCAGTACATAGTGACATTAACTGATACAATGGTTTACCCAGACAGGAATGGGGAGCGTGACCAGAAATGGGGAGCAAACAATGAATGCAGGAGTGGGGAGGGAGCACTGGAACTGATGGTGATGTGTGTAAAACTCTTTATAGAAATAATTTAACTATGGAAATGTGTGATATTTGAATATTATATCAAGAAAGTTACTAAAAAGGAACCCATTTGACCAATGGTTTCCATGGATGATGGAAGAAGAGTTTTGATTTTGCTTTGGGGGAATTGAGTTTATGTCCATGGATTGGAATGATTTGGAAAAATATATCAGTAATGATTGTACAACATGAAGAGTATAATCAATGGCACTGAATTATAAAGGTAGAAGTTGTTGAATTGGAGAGTGTTTTGTTGTGTACTTTTTTGCCACAATTTTAAAAATTACACGAATAACAATGAGTACAAGGAAGAAGAAAATGTTCTAAAAATGTTTGTGGTAACAATTATACAACTCTTCTTGATGTGATTGAACTATTGAATTGTATGATACATGTATGGCCATGCGGAAGGACTGTCTGCTGGCGGTCAGTTCGGGGGGCACCAAGGCCAGGTCGCGGCCTGGAGGGGCCCCGGGGGGCCCCATGGCCGC